AAGACTTTATTACAGCAAACTCTCTACTTTGGGGCAGGATTTCCAGATCAACACTTTAGGGTAAGGTGCAGTCCAGCCTGGCCCCTCCACGGGTGGAAGCAGGAGGGGGTGAAGGGAAGAGGGAGAAGCAGAATACGATGTGGAGCTGAGTTGTATTTAACTTCACATTTGATTTCACTGCCTGGCAGATGTCCCAGGGCCTGGGGGGCTATGACAGACTGTCAGTGTGGGTGTGAAACAGCGAACTAAAACAGAGATTTAACAAATCAAACAAGGAGACAGTGGTGAGAGCCAGCTGCAAGATATTGGAGAGGCAAGTCCTGATGCTTGTAAGAAAAAGCCAAAGGAGTGGACACTAGACCCTCGGGCGTTGCCCTAGCTCTGCTGGGCCTTGGGGTGCCCCATGGAAGCCACGGAACTCCCCTTCTCCCTCCCCAACAGGGAACTGTGGTGTCCCCACCCCATGGCTGTCCCTCTGTATTAAATACAAAGTATAAGGAGAGAAGCCCTGAGATCATTCGTGAAGGAAAGTGGGATTCCTGTGTCTTTTCCCCAGCTTACGTTATTGTAATAAAAAGCCACTTCATTCCTACCTTCAAAACCTTGTCCCCGGGGTTCTGGATCTGGCTGCAGCCTGGAGCAGGGTCATCCCTTTTCTCCCCTGGCTTATGGCAGACCCGCCCGGTGTAGGAGCAAATCTCTATTCCTCTCCACCCAGCCACCCGCACACCTGCTACAGAAACTTCAGGAGACTCGGAGGGTTCAGAGCGGGGCAGGCCAAGGGACCTACTCCGAGGGAGAGTGAGGCTTCCCCCTTTGGGTCTAAGCCAGAGCCCTTGGCACTGAATGCTATTGAACCTCAGACAGGCCCTTCCTGTCAAAGGCCAGTGTTTCATCTCAGGCAGATGTCCCCGAGGAACGTCACAGACCAGAAAACCAACCCCGAGATCGCCTCGACTGTCCCATCCTATTTTGGGCCGTAATTCCTGAGGAAACCCCAACCCTCGTACTTTCAACTTTTCTGTTTATGAAATCTGTGTATTTATCTGAGGGAAAACTAGCAGGTGCAGCATGAGTGAAGCTCCCCACCCCCACCCTGCCAGGCCAGAGACAGTGACAGAAGGGGACACCCCTGCTCCCTTCCGCACTCGGGCTTGGACCTCCCATAGGACTCAAAATCCGGACCGGGTCTCCACAGGCCGGTAATTATTTGGAGATCACGGCAACGGCCCAGAACCCCCCTCCTTACTTCAGGATGGAGAGATTTGTGACCTTTCATTGCTTACAAGAGCAAGGCAGCGTGTTTGTTATTCGTCCCACATACTGGGTGATGGCTTAGAGATTTGGCCCACGACTTGCCCAAAAGCTCGTATCTGCGGATTAGAACCCGAGCCTCCAGACTTGCCAGACCCAGAGGGATATAAGTGTCTATCTATCCCCCACCCCACCCAAGCCCACACCCACGTACGGATTTCCGGGTATCTTCTGTTTGCCGTCCCACCGCCTTCCCTCCCCATCAGAGGGACAGCCGTCTGGAAAAACACTCGCTGGCCACGTCACTGTCCTAACGTGAAGAGCTCGCAGTGTGGGTTGCTTGTGCACAGACACACACGGCGTGGAAGCAGATGCCTGTGCAGAGGGCTCCAGGGTTCACCCTCCGTGTGCTTACCTTCCACCAGCACTCCTGAAGCTCCCCGCATTAGTCACCTGTCCTGTTACTTTTCCTGGGCAAGGAGCCCTTTAAACACAGATCAGAAGGAGCACCTGGGTGGTTCAGTCAGTTGAACATACGGCTTTTGATTTTGGCTCAGGTCGTGATCTCCTGGTTTGTGGGATCAAGCCCTGAGTCGGGCTCTGGGCTGACAGTACAGAGCCTGCTTGGGATTCTCTCTCTCTCTCTCTCTGCCCCACCCCTGCTCCTACTTGCACTCTCTCCCTCTCAAAATAAAAGCTTTAAACAAAATCGCAAACCAGAAAACCAATGCTTGGGGCTCTTGGGCAGCTCAGTTGGTTGAGCGTCCGACTTTGGCTCCGATCATGATCTCGCAGTTTGTGAGTTCAAGCCCCACGTGGGGCTCTATGCTGACAGCTCAGAGCCTGGAGCCTGTTTTGGATTCTGTGTCTCCCTCTCTCTCTGCCACTCCCCTGCTCACACTCTGTGTGTGTGTCTCTCTCTCAAAAATAAATAACTTAAAAAAAAAGTTTAAAGAAAAAAGAAAACCAACCCTCACCCGTCTACGTCCCCTGACTTGTATATATTTTATTTATACATTTGTTAACATTTCCCTCCTACCTCCACCCACCCCACCCCACCCAACACATATAAGCCCCTGACAGGCAAGGATGCTCTTTGGGTCTGTTTTCTTTTCTTTTAATGTTTATTTATTTTAAAATAATAAATAAATATTTATTATTTATTGCAGTGTGTGGGTTCGAGAGAGATAGCATGAATAGGGGAGGGACAGAGAGAGGGAGAGAATCCCAAGAAGACTCCAAGCTATCAGCCAAGAGCCGGGTGTGGGGCTCGATCTCACGAAGCATGAGATCATGACCTAAACCGTAATCAAGAATCAAACACTTAACCCACTGAGCCGCCTAGGTGCCCTGGGTCTGTTTTATTTTCTACTCTATCTCTAGCACATTGGCCAGATCCTGGCCCAGAGTAAGTACAAAACAATTATTTGTTGGCTGAATGGGTATCCGACTTCTATTCAGAAGAGCTGAATGCACACATACACTTTGCATTTGGGCCATTAAGTTTAAGAACAGAAGAACACCCATGAGGGGAGGCAGAATTCTGGGCAGTCTGTCTACTTAGATGATCCCAAGACAGATATGGTTGCTAAAGCCTTGCCGTGTGGACAATGCTGGAGGAAGATTGGAGGTCAATGGGTAGAATTTAGCAGAAGGCAAATTTGGGCTTAAACTCACAGTTGGAGCTGCCCTACCATAGGGGTATGGGCGAACTTTTGCAGGGAAGCATCCCATGAGTCATGACTTTTAGTCTCCGTTCCCTTAAGTAGTCTCCTTCCACATGACTCAGAGCCTGGCCATGTGACTTGCTTTGCCCAATGGGATAATTACCATTCCATTGCCAACCATTCCGGTTGTATTAAGCATATTTTTTTAATGTTTATTTATTTTTTTTATTTTTGATTGTTTATTTATTTAAAAATTTTTAATGTTTATTTTTGAGAGAGAGAGAGAGAGAGAGAGAGTGCAAGCAGGGGAGTGGCAGAGAGAGGAGACACAGAATCTGAAGCAGGCTTCAGGCTCTGAGCTGTCAGCACAGAACCTGACGCGGGGTTCAAACCCACAGACCCGTGAGATCATGACCTGAGCCGAAGTCGGACACTTAGACTGAGCCACCCAGGTGCCCCTATTTTTTTGTTTTGTTTTTGTTTTTGTTTTTGTTTTGTTCTGAGAAAGAGAGAGAGAGCGCACAAGCAGGGGAAAGGCAGAGAGAGGGAGACAAAGCAGGCTCCAGACTCTGAGCTGTCAGCACGGAGCCCGACGTGGGGCCCGAACCCACACACTGCAAGATCATGACCTGTGCCGAAGTTGGATGCCCAATGGACTGAGCCCCCCAGGCGCTCCTAAGCATGTTTTTAACTATCTGTATTTTCTGATGCTTTGACATTTAGGGGCCTTGTTAACGCTAGAGGGACTGCACCTGGTTAGCTAATGCCCAGAAATAACAAACAACTCTGCAGGGAGCATTCCTTCCAAATGCAAACTAACCAATCAGCCACCACCTCTGTTGGGCTCTCACACTCAGGGCCACAACCCCCTGCTCTAATCACCCCAGGGCCAGGTAGCAGATAACTAGAGCTAGCCCCTGTGCCTTAAAATCTGCCAAGATCATTCAAACTGGCCAATCCTAAACCTGCTTTCCCTGCCTGGCCTTGCTTTTCTGGTGTGGTTAAACCAGTGCCCAAATCATGTCCATAGGAATCATTCTCTAACTCTCAGTTTTGCTTCCTTCAAAATTGGGGCCATTCTTAGGTGGTGGC